TTCGCTTGAGGCCCAAGGGTAGGCTCCAGGCAATTAGGAAACCCTAGATTTTACTTAAAAACGTCTACATAGCATATTATTTATTTATTTATATTTATGCATAGAAGAACTAGGGTATAAGCCAGAGGTGCATGGGGTGAGAGGATTCACCAGAGACAGAGTGACAAGCAGAACAGGTGGATCTACTGAAATACACTGCTGAGGGGAGCAGCGGGCAAGACAGGAGAGGTCTGCTGCACCATGTGGGTCAGCTTCCTGGCTGGGGATTGAACTCAGGCCACAGCAATGATAGCACTGAGATTTAACGCGAAGGCCACCACAGAGACCCCTGTATAGGATATTATATGCATTTTTACAGGGGCGAGTGTTCAAATTTTTACGATATTCCAAAAAGATGCCGATGGCCTAACACAGCCTAAGCCCTGCATGAAAAAATCCACCCCAATGTAAATGGTATGTATTAACACATTCTTTATTTACTATTCAGAATTCTTTTTGAGACAGCAGATGACTCTGTTCCTCAGCTGTTCTTACATCCTCATAAAGCAAAATATAAATTCCTGTTTTGACAGGAGAAGGTATTATTATTATTACAGATACTTAAACTTCTATTTACTTTTTCTGCTTCTTACAAGTAAACTTAAATGTCTAGTAGAAAGTATCTTAAAATCTGATGGGACCTGTATTTGGTATTTTATTTAGAAACTCCTTCCAGAGGCCAGGTTTTAGTAATCTAGCTATTTTCTTCCTCCTTTAACTCTGCAGAAAGACTAGAGTTTAAAATCTTGATTAACAGTAAATAGTCATTTTCTTTAAAGTTGCAGACTCAGGCAAATGTGATCAAATCACATATGGCTCAGGAGTCTGAACAGGCATAACAGTTAAATATCAGAGTGAAAGTAATGAATAAAAAAGTCCAACATATTTCCATTGTTTCAGAGAATTTTCACTCTCCAAAAGTAAAAGTGAGTCAAGCAGAGGTAATAAAGCTCCTGAGCTTTCACTGCTTTCCTGACAGTCTCTCCCTGGTTCATCAACAGGGGCAGCACAGTGAAATGGTTCCAGTGTCCCAGGACCTGTCCCTACCACCTGGTGAATGGACCTCAATTTCAATAGCTGCCCCCACAAATACTTGTGTTCCATACAGGACTTGACTTACAGTGACAGTGGCGTGCAGGGATGTTGCAAGTAGGACTGTTCAATCAGTAAAATAATTATACTTTTTAGAGAAATTCACTTTTAAAAATTAAGCACCTTAAAGCAAGGGAATTTCCTTTATATTTTGTATGACATTTTAAAAATATCTTTTTATCTTTTTATGTTCTAAGTAATTACCATAATGCCTGGGATGCAGTGGGTGCTGAGTACATGTTTTTCAATTGCAATTTTGTTCCTTGTTTTTCTTTCTTCCTTTAACTTTTAGCAACCTGCTTGTCCAGCCATGGTGCAGAGGTGACTGCTGCTCAGCACCAGGGGAAGCTCTGAGTTAGAGGAGTCCAAAGGAAGTTTAACTGCAAATTCAGCTTCTTTACACCAAAGGTACTTTTACATCTACTTGAAGGGAAGCAGAGCAGAGATTTCTTTGGATATCAAGAAGAGAGTTGAAAGGCAAATTCAAACCATGCCCTTTGGACACTCAATAAATATAAAAGACTGATCATGGAAAAGTGAGTTTAAATTGCCACAGGTACAGACAATTTTGCTTCCTATTGATTTAGGAAATAAAAAAGGAATTCTTGGTCATTTCTGAGAGAGATAAACCTCAAAACCAAAGGCTTCCCAGAAGGACACCAATTCTCAGTATGAAACAACAAATGAGTTTGATTTTTGAAAAATCAATTCTATGAAACCCAAAAAATAGATTTGAGTGGTATTTACGGTTGTCCTCAATGCTAGCTTGAACCAAAGGAATATTAAACAATGGTGAGAAGTCAGGAACATAACTTCATTAGAATCCAAACTCCAGTTTTGGTGATATAAACTATGGGAAGATTACATCAAGCCAAACATATGTATTTAAAAGTAGTATTTTAATTTTTGGAGGCCTTGTGTATAAATGATAAACAGGATGGAGTATTTATAATATTCAGTAGGATGAACTTCAGATAAGCAGGCATACACAGGAAAGTGTGGCCCAGAGAGAAGAGAATATTACCTAGAAACCTGTAACTGGGCACATGTCCAGACTATATATATAACAATTTGTCTGTGAATATAAATGTATTTAATTGTGGGAAGGGTGTTTATGTTGATTGTACAAGTGCTTCTTTGTCCAGGGAAGACTGCATCTAATAATGATCAAGTTATAAACTTTGATTTTGTGGAGCTAAATACAGTAAACTCTATACCCTGGATGCAAAAGGAAAAGGGGATTTGCAGACAATATGATAATATACATAGAGAACCCCAAAGACTGGCTGGAAAAACTAACTTAAATAATAAACCAGTTCAACAAATGGGCAGGATACAAAATCACACAAAAATCAGTTTTTTTCCTACATACAAATAATGAAATGGAAGAAGAAATTAGTAAAGCTATCCCATTTACAATCTCATCAGAAAAAAATTAAATACCTGAGAAAAAACCTAACAAAGCAGGTGAAGATCCATTACAAGGAAAACTATAAAACATTGTTAATAGAAAAAGAAATAGCAAGAGGAAGATACTCCCTGATCATGGATTGGAAAAATCAATACTGTTAAAATGGCCATCCTGCCTAAAGTAATTAAAAGGTTCAATTCAATCCTAATAAAAATCCCAATGGCATTCTTCAAAGAAATAGAACAAAGATTACTGAAATTTATATGGAACCATAGAAATCCCAGAATAGGCAAAGCTCTCTTGATGAAAAAGGGGAAAAAATGGAGGTATTACATTTCTGGACTTCAAACTATATTATAAAGCCATAATAATTAAAACAGCACAGTATTGAAACAAAACAGACAGATGAATGGACTAGAATTGTGAGCCCAGAAGTAAAACCACACACTTACAGGTAACTAATATACGAGAAAGGAAAAAACATATGCACTGGAACAATGAAAGCCTCTTCAGTAAACTGCTGCAAAAATTGGACTATAACATGCAAAAGAATGAAGTTAGACCACCATCTCACAACATACATGAAAATCAACTCAAAATGGATAAGACACTTGGATATAAGACCTGAAATCATAACATACATAGAAGAAAACATAAGCAAAACACTCCATGACATAAACTTCAGAAATATCTTTCTGGACTCATTGCCAGCAGCAAGAAAATTAAGGGGTAAATAAACATCTGGGCTCATATCAAACTAAAAATCTTCTGTACAGTGAAAGAGACAGTGCTCAAAACAAAGAGATAACCTGTTAGATGGGAGAAAATATTTGCATACCATAAGGGGTTGATAAGGGGTTAATATCAAACATCTACAAAGCACTTATACAATCAACAAAATGAAAACAAACAACCCAATCCAAAAAATGGGCAAAAGAGCTTAATAGGCACTTCTACAAAGAAGATATTGCAGATGGCCAACAGACACACACACACAAAAGAACCTTCTATATAGCTCACATCACTTGTCATTAGGGAAATGCAAATCAAAACGACAATGAGATGCCACCTCACACCTGTGAGAATGGCCTATGGTAAAAAACAAACAAACAAACAAAATCACAAACAAGTACTAACAAGGGTGTGGAGAAAAAGGAACACTATTACATTTTTGGTGGGAATATAAACTGGTCCAGCCCCTACAGAAAGAAGTGTGGGGATCCCTTGAAAGACTAAAAATGAATTTACCATATGATCCAGTGATTCCACTCCTAGGAATCTACCCAAAGAACACTAAAACTCTAATTCAAAAGGAAACCTGCACTCCTATGTTTACAGCAGCACTATTTACAATAGCCAAGAAATGGAAACAACCTAAATGCCCCCAAAACAGAGGAATGGATCATGAAGATGTGAGATACACACACACACATACACACACACACACAGGAATACTAAACTATTTAAACAGATCAATTCTTGCCATCTGCAGTGACATGGATAGAACTGGAAGAGATTTTTCTAAGCAAAGTAGCCAGGAGAGAGAGAACTACTGGATGGTTTCACTTATACATGGGACTAGAGAAACCAAACAAAGGATCTCAGGCAAACAGTAAGACTGACCCTTAAAGGCGGACCTATATCTGAGACACTCAGGAGGGGAGGGGAGGGGGAAGGAGAGGAGTAGAGTGGAGAAGGGGGTTGGGGGAAGGGGGAGGAGAGCTCAGTGGAGTATGCAGGACTGTGAGGACTTTGGTGATGGGAAAACTAAGGTGACCACACCTGATGGGAGAAATCCTATACTGTGAAAAAAATAAACAAGGATGTTTAAAAGGTAACCAAAAAACAAACAAAAAAAAAAAGGAGAAAGTGATCCATTTTGCGTTTTGCTGCAATCCACACACTCCTTGAGAGGCAATCGACACTCTCTTTGGAGTCAGACAGATGTGGGCTACAGTTCCAACTTGACCACGATTCGCCTTGCAAAGCCATGCAGGCTCCTCAAGTATCCCTAGGCTCAGCTTCATTGTCTGTGAATTGCAGAGAAGACTTGCTTCCTGGCCACTGCTCTGGAGACGTGCAGGCCGCAGCCTGTGCAGAGGTCTGTGTGGCATTTAGAGCAGTGCCGGGCATGGAGTGGCCTGGGTGAGTTCTGGCTGGTGTCCAGGGCCTTCCTACTGGCAGCGTGAGGTCAGTGCAGCATCACTGCAGACACCACCAGTGAGAGAAGACCCAGTCTCATCTGACTTTACACTCTCAGGATCCTCTATTACGCACTAGACAGTTTCATGGCCACATTCTTTTTATTTTTTTCAGGGAGCCAGATTTTCATTTTAACCCTCTATTCTTCCCTTTACAAGAACAGCTTTGAAAAACAGAAACTGGAATTTTGTTCCTCTAAAATATAAGACAATTGACTCATATCCCTTGAAAGATGTGAATTTATTTTATTTCTTACCTTTTCAATTTTTTCATCCAGCATCCTGAAGAATTCTTGTTGGCTTTCAGAGATGTGCATGCTGGAAAATAAAGAGTAGGTAAGGGTGTATTTTGCTGCTTTTTGAAGTGTGACTCCCTCAAATGGAAAATGTCCAGTCTCGGAACTTTGGGGCAGGTTAGTTTACTGAAGACATTTCCACAGAAATAATTTGGAGTTATATTAGGGACTAAATGTCATTCCCTCATTTGTAATAGTCTTCCAGGGCCTGTGACCTAAGGGATACAATTTCCTTTCAATGCACACATGTACTTACAGTGATGTTTCTGTTACTTTTTTTCTTCAGGTACACATTTGTGATTTCAAGAAAAAAGAAAAGCGTCAGCAAGTCACATGTGGCTTTATTTCCACCCCGTGTGTAACCATAAAAAGAAAATGTATCCTGGTTATTATATGGAAATGTGTATTCTATAAAGGTTGTCGGCATCAGTGCAGCATTCAGCTGACTGTGTAGGTGTGGTGGGGGGAGCGGATGAGCTGAACTTGACATTGCCCCTGAACACCTGCGTTGGCGAGGGCAATGCATGTCTTTGGAGCTGAAATTGCACTGGAATGTGGGAGTAGTCAGGGAGTCTGTCTGAGCAGCACCTGCTTCGTCTGTCTGCTTGTCCCATGTCATAGACAGCAAACATAGTGGTGGGGGCATGAAATGAGATTGGTGTGTGGAGAAAAGTTACAGATGGGCAAGGTGGGAGGAAGGGGCCTCAGTGGTAACATGGTCCATGAGTGTAGTTTCTCCTTGGCAAGTGGTTATGGGGCTCCTGGGAGGCCCCCAGGAGGTTTAGGATGCTGGGGTGAGAGCCCCAGTGTCCAGTGTTTCTTTCAGTTGCTGTCAGTGTGGTAGATCTGGAGAAACTTCTTCCCTTCAAGTCTGGAGTGGTGAATGCCTGAGTAACATCCCCCCTTGCATCACACCTCATCCTTTTAGGGATCACAGGGAGTGCACAAGGGATCCCAAACCCTCCAGGCTGCCCTTGACAGATAAAGGGACTCAGAGGAAGTTTCCCCGTGTGTAAAACCAAGATCTAAAATCCAGGAGCAATGACATCAGCTTGGATGTAAAAGGAAAGCAATGAAAAATACCTGACACCAGCAATCAGCTCTCACAGTTCGAAAGTACTTTAACAGGTATTTTCCGACCTTGATATGATCATTGAAATTAAGTTCATGTTCTGTTTCAGTAACAGGCCGTCTCTTGTGGCAGGTTAGCAAGGCAGGGCAGAATTGTGAGGATGAAAATACATTAAATGGTTTCCTCTCTGTTTCTGGCTGGACAGAAAAGTCATTCTGCGTGGCTGAGTTTTCCCAGATTCTTCATGGTTTCACTTCTGAAACTGCCAGTGTTTTTTTTTTTTTTTTTTTTTTTTTTTTTTTGTGGGACCCTCGCCGACGGCCAGGGAACGAACCGGCGCTGCAGAGGCTGCTGGCAGCCTTGCAGCCCAGAGCTCAACTGCTGCGCTACCAGGGGAGGCCCTGAAAGTGCCACTTTTTTATTTGAGCTACTGTGGATGCAAACCTGTCTAAACTTTATGCTCTTTAAAATAGACGGTCTTCCAGAGACATTTCTTAACTTCCGCTCAGTGAGGAGGAGCCACTTCCCTGATCTGAAAATGTAGTGCCCCTCCTTCTCTGACACTGAGATCCCCGGGGTCTCTGAGGTGGGCAGCCCGCCTCTCATTAAGCCAGAAGGCCTTCATCACCAGGTTGTCCTCTGCCTGCTTTGAAGTACCTTCTCTCATCTCCTCTTGTCAGAGAGGATGTCAATCCTTCTTCTCTGAGTTTTCTCAGGTATCAGATGCTTTTGTTTATAAATGATGAATGCTTGATGCTAAAGATCTTTAATAAGTGTCTGTATATTGGTACTAGATTTAACTAATTTCATGTAACAATTTCAATAAGTCCTATTTCTCTCCATGACTCAATCTGGGAGGACACCAGGGTCCCTGAGCACTTCCCAAGCTCTGGGGGGTTAATCCTGAGTCACCAAAGACTTTTCTTTCTGTGTCTCAGCCTCATAGGGCCAGGGATGACAACACTATGACATCTTAATGAAAGTAATCAAATGAAACAAGGCAAAACGGGAAAAATGGGCTTTCGAGCTGAAATCTTAGCAGCCTTCATTTTCAGTGACTAAAAAAAATTTCCAAATAATAAAAACCTAAGCCATCAAAGTATGGGAAGGCAAGGTCCTAATCCCCTCACATGTCACCTGCCAAGATGGAATTCAGTTATCTAATTATAGATAGGTGGGTTCCTGGAAAATCTTAGTATAAACACAGATTTTTAAAATAAGATTTACTTTTATTTATTTATGCATACAAGAACTGGGGTATAGGCTAGAAGTGTGTGTGTTGGGGGGTGAGAGGGTTCACCAGAGACAGAGTGGGGAGCAGAAATGATGGATCTATTGCAATACACTGCTGAGGGGGAGCAGTGGGCAAAACAGGAGAGGTCTGCTGCACCATGTGGGTCAGCTCCCTGGATGGGATCAAACTCAAGTTGCAATGGCTGCAGATCGCTTCATAGTGCTGAGACTTTAACCCCTGTGCCACCAGGGAGACCCTGAACACAGATATTTCTTCATATCGATCATTATTATTGTTCAACAGAACCTCAGGGAAGTGAATGGACTCTCATCCTAACTTTGTGACAATCCCTTGCTAGTAGTACATGCACAGCTCACTGTTATTTAATTAGTTCATGATTTTGTCTTTTAAAATCCCATGAAACCAAAACCAACACCAAAAGCTGGGGCCTTGATGTCAGTCTGGAGCCAACTCACCTCCTACCCATGCAATGTGTCTACTCTGGCCAAGACAGAACCATCAGGCCTCCCTTTCCCTTTTGGAGCTTCAGTGCATTTCTATTTGTGCTTAAAAAGCAGATTACTTTAGTTGTTCTTAATTTATAAAGGGCGCACGATGCTCTATAACCTATCAGGACTTGTCTCTTCCTCTCCCATCACATCGCTGGGCCCCTCACGGTGCGCTGCGGCCCGCATTTGTCCTCTCTGCTCAGACCCACTGCGTGCCTCAGTGCAGGTCATTCACCGAATTTCCCGAGAATGGGCATTTCTCTTGTTTCTCATCACTAAGGCATTCTTACCTAGTGTCAGACACAGTGGTCGGCACTCAGCATGCGCTATTTTATTTGATCACTAGTTTTATAAGGCAGGATTTTTCACCTCCATTTTTCTTTGAAAAAGCTGACAAAGACCTGAGATCTGAGATTATGAGTCAGTACACATTGCTCTACCTGTTGAATCAGTGATACAACAGGCAAGAGGAGTACCTGCCTTTATGGCGTTGTACTTTCCTTGCACTCATGGGGAAAAAAGCCTCATTTTCTTATACAACTACTCAAGAAATGATAGGTCCTTTAATCCTGTATGCTAGCAAGGAGGAAAAATGAAACTTTTCCTGGCTCTCCAGAAAGATTTCCTGGTTGAAAGTCACACCTCCATTATTCTGACTTATCATTTAAAATACACACACACACACACACTCACACACACATACACACAAGCATGCTGCTTGGTGGTAGATGGGATTTTCTTTATACTTTTTATGAAAACACACGAGCCAACTTAACCGCTTGCTCCGAAAGCTCCAGCATCCGCATTCTGCAGGACATGCTGTTCAGCGTGTCAGAGTTAAGTGAATATTCAGTCTTACAGGAAAAAAAAGGAATTTCTCCTTTAATACAGTTTCTCCTTAGAACTCAGAGATAAGAGAAACATTTGATAATAGCACAGATCAAATGCTTGGATGAAAAGGTGATGTAGTGCCATCAGAGAGCTCTGTCCTCGAAGGCAGATAAAGTTAGTGTGGATAAAAGTGATTAGCGGTGAAGTGGACTCAGAAGGTTGTGATAGAAACCTAACACCTAAGGGGCAAGAATCAGTTGTAACATTATCCTGATACTCTAAGTGGATTTTAAAATGTCCGGTGTTCTTTGAAAGTGAAAAATTAAATCACTGAGGTCATTCATACCTCTCCACACCCAGGAATCCTAAATCCATAAGTCGGTGGATAGGTCCACAGTCAGTGGTCCAGGCTGACATGTTTATAAGCCAGATTATGTCTGTCTCAGTTTCACAGGAATAACCAGAGATAATGTAACTTTCGCGTATGATTTGATTTATGGGGTTACAACTATATGTATGTAGTAGTCAAATTTATTTGGGGGGGAGGTGTCTGTGTCACATGTACTAATTTATTTATATTATTTATATTTATATTACATTTTATATTTTATATAATGTAAATAAGGTGAATTTATAAATATATACTATATTTAGGTGGAACACCAAAATAGAGATTTGCTGTCTCTGGTTAACAGAGCCTCTCTGAAGAGGCTTCAAATTTACACAAAGATAGTTTCAAAGTTATACAAAGTACAAGGTAGATTCAGTTCTAGCATCATCTAGAAAGCTACCCATTATTCTCTTTACATTTTTAACTGTGGAATATCTAACACAGAGAAAACATGATGGTATTTGTATATTTTAGAAAAATAGTAATTAAAAGAAGATCCAACTAATCACCACTCAGCTTAGGAAATATCCAGTCCAAAAGAACCACCTCCCTGAATTTAATGCCTTTTCATTTCCTTGTTTGTCTTTGTTTTATTGTAGGAATAGTGAAAACACACACACACAGTGTACAAAATGTTGCTTAGTTCTGTCTATTTTTAAATTTTATGTCATCAAAACTTTATGTTGGCACACTGCTACTTACTCTACTGCTGCAATCTTAAATTCATGAGACTCCTTTCTCCTCATGTAGCTATAGGTCATTCATGTAGTATTACTATCACTAGAAGATGCTACATTTTTGTTAACCTAAATATTTTTGATGGACATTTCAGTTTCAGCTTTAAGAGATTCAAGAACTCATATAAACAATGCTAAGGACATTTCAAAATAGGTCTGCTGGTGCACATGTATAAGAAACTCTACAACATCAGAGAGTGGAGTTGCTGGGGGAATGTATGCCTAGGAACAATTTTAATAAATACTGCAAAGTCTTTTTCAAAGTCATTGTGGCAATTTATATTCCCATTAGCAGGGGTTAAGGTTGAGTATGGTTCCACATGCTGGTCAATCTTTTGTCTTTTTTCTAAATTTTCTCCAGTTTTCTAATGTGAAATGACTTACTTTTTCACATATTTGCTATTCATGCTTCCTCTTCAGTCAAATGACTGTTCATTTCTTTAGTCTCTTTTTGAATGAGTGATTTGTCTTTTACTGATTGATTTGTTGGAGTACTTTATTATGGAATCCAACAACTGTCAATTATATGTGTTGCAAGCATATTCCATTATTTTTGTAGATGTTTACTTTCTTACAGTTTATTTTGATACACAGAAGTTCTTAATGCAGTCATATGAATGAATCACTTTACTTAAGGTTCTGCATCCCTGGTGACTAATTCAAAGTTCTTCCCTCCCCCGCCATCATAAAGTTATTCCTTTTTATTTTCTTCTAATTTATCTGAAATGTCTGCCCTGTCATCCATTGTGGGCTGTTTTGGGGTCTCTATTCTGTTTCATCAGACCATACCACATTGTTCCAGCTACTACAGTTTTATATCTTGATTACATGGTGTGCAAAATGAGACTTACCCTGAAAACAGTTTTATTTTTTAAAAAAGTATAAGGAAAATGGGAACTAGGACTTACTTTGCTCTGGGTTGATGGACTAATCCGGGAATCTCTTTATTAGTTTTAAGTCTTACATTTGAACTGGCACTTTTTTCCTGCAACACATAAACACACACACATAAAAGACAAGATCAGACCAGCAATTAAATTATATCATGAACAGTATTTCTGATATTAATGTTAATATGAGCAGATGTAGAGGAAGTGTTTTGAAAACCATTACATATGACATTAAAATAGCAAGTTGATGTTGAAAATGTAAAGGACTTAGGCTTATGATTTATAGGAGATATGACCTTGGGTAGCTCATGTTTTCACTAACCAAATGTTGAATGCTTCAGAGGTTAATCTGTATTATTTCTTCACTCTTCTCTAGTTTTAATTCAATAAAGAAATATGAGAGGGGAAAAGCAATGTCATGAATTTCATTACAGAAATATTGGATCTGTTTGAGATCCTCCACAGTTGGTTACTTCTTCACAAGGACAAAAGTCCTTGCAAAGCTGTTACGCAGGACAGGCAGAACCTGCCAGGCATTTTAACAGGGAACACGGTCATGAAAAGAGAAACTAGCTTTATAACTGCTCTGACACTGTTTGGCAAGCTATGTGCAACTAAAATTTTTTGGGTGGAGTAGCTGAAATTAGCAAGAAAATCAAAGAAAAGAGGGCTCTAGAGTCAAAAAGAGCAGCAGTGGTTCAATCACAGCTACTGTGTACTTGTCCAGGGTAAGTGGCTTCAGTGCATTTTATCTGTGAAAGACACTGCGGCTACTGAGAGATGAAGTTTGCACAGGGCCCTTGGAGTAACAGGGAGAAGAACATGGCTAAAAATAACACAATTCACATTGAATTGATTTAAAGTCAATACTAGTGTGTATTCAAGGAGCACTGTTTTGGCTTTTTAAGTTGAATAACCTGTCTTATTCTGAGTATCCTACCCACAGTGGAATACCCTCAAATCTGAAAATACTGATATATCAATCAGTAATCATACTATCTCAGTAATATTGCTTCTCTCTATTTTTACAGATATTATATTTAAAAAAAATACTCAAGGTGATTTATAAATTGTTCATAGAATAAGTCCTTAAAATGAAAGGGAAGACTAAGTGACTCTATACACTCAAAGGACCTGAAGTGTAGCAAGGAATAAAAGCTCCTCTGGGCCAACCTGCCATTCTCACCACATGCAGTGATGTGGAATGACACAGAAAACACTGATCCTCAAATGAACTCTATTCAGTGCAAATTTTCTTAGGACAGTGGAAGCCATTAAATTCAATGAAAGCCCAATGACTGCTATGCTCTGGTTGACTTTACCACAAACATGAGCTAATCTAACAATAGTGGGATGAGCTTATTTTTCACAAAGCAGGTGGGAGAAATTAGGAAACTGCATCACAGTTATGATGGCTTGATGAAGAGGCTATGTTCCAAGAGATGCGCTGTTAGGTGATTCTGTTGTTGTGTGAAAGTCATTGAGAATAGTTGCATAAACCTAGAGGGTACAATCTACTACACTCCTAAGCTAGATGGCAGAACCTTCTGGAACTGGTGTGGTCCATCTACCCGATGTACCATTAAGTGACATGTGACAGTAATTCCAGCAAGGCAGAGCCAGCGATCTCTGTACCACGGGGCCACTGTGCCTGCTGGGAGCCACGCCCATCATGGAGGCAGTCATCAAACATTGGTAGAATGAATGAATGAGGTCAGCCAATGATGGACTTCTTTTCAGCAGAGACAAAAATAGCTTAAAGGTGGTCTCCCTGTGAGAGTGAAGATGTAGGTCCCTCTACTCCCCCGCAAGTTAGTCATTATTTTCCCTTAAATTTTATGTCTGCTTCAATTAAACATCATTGAAAATGGACATACTTGATGTGAAAGAACCTTCAACTCTTCCTCTACTTACATAATTTCTCACTCTTTGAACTCAAATGATATGCCATTATTTTAAATATTGCTGAGGCATGAAAATGACTTTTAATTTTAAGACTACTAATGATATTCAATGGTATTCGGTTTATATTAAATTTACTAAATTGTACATTGCCTCACCAATCTTCCTTAAAAACATTGCACTTGCTAAGAAAGAACTCCCCCCACTCCAAACAATACGGATGATCAGGACATCTGGGCCCATGAGAAAGGACATGTCACCCCCAGGACATCATGTACATGTGTGCACTTCCAGGAAGAGAGAGCCCCAGAGGTAAGGCAGAGGCAAAAGGAGGACAACAGAAAGGACATTTAATTACATAAAGATTACTATGTACTGTATTTTCATAACGTATGTGTTTTTACAGATTACCATGAACCAAGGTCATTAACAACTACTCACTGACCATTTACTAGAAGTCAGTACAGATTTACATATTAACTCATTTTTATGTCCACAGCACCTCTCTGACACAAGTACCATTATTATCCTCACTTGACAGATGAGGAAGTAGAGGCTTAGAGGGATGAAACACTGAGGTAACAAGTAATAAGTGAGTCAGTATTTGAACCCAAGCAAAATGGCCCCAGGGTCTAGGCTATTAGCCACTTGTCAGTAGTTCTTAAACTTTCTAGCATCAAGACTCCCTTTACCTATACTCTCCAAATGTTGAAACATTTCATTATACAAAGTGAAAACAATCATATTTGTTAAAATCACCATCAATCTCATCAGAAAATTCTTTTTAATTTTTTAAATTGTTGTTGAGGTACCACTGTGTTACATTCCTGTTAGTGTTTTGACAGTTTAGGAATCCCCCCTCGGGTGGAATAACTGCAGCTCTCTCACCAACAAAGCACCTGTGGTCCACCACCATAGTCCACTGTGCTTCACCAGAAAAATCTTGACTAAAACTGTCAAGGTCATGGTCATGGATACCAGTTTTCAAAATCCGAATTTTGGCTTCCAGTTTGAATTTTATCACTAGCAAGTCAATTGTTTTCTTTGATGACAAGTCTGATTATCCATAATGTATCTGTCAGACCTTTTTTTTCTAGAGATGGTGTTCCATAAACTACCACTGGTAGTCCAGTGTGTGGCCACCAGCTGTAGAGGTGCTGTCCCCTGGAGAACCGTCTCATTTGGGCATCAGAAGAAATCATCACACAGATTGTTAAAAAGACAGGCACAAAACTCAATCAAATTAGGCCATTTTTTTAGTGCTTACACTGGGAAGCGAAAAAGGAATGCATTCTTCTACTTTGATGCATGTGGTGGCAAATGACACAATAACCATTAAGGTTTGGTGTCCCTACATTGATTTACAGCATCAGCAGTTTTACCTACTGCTGCTTTTGCACTGTCAGTGCAAATCTGGACACAGTGAAAAAGGCAAACAGCTTCTTAGTGTTATTAGAAAAATTACCTCAAGGGCCTCCAGGGGTCCCTGGGCCACAATGACTACAGTGTCATGCTTTCTTTTGCAAAGGAAAAGAACTCTTGGTTGCTTAATTATGCTCTATGCCTTATCTAAAAAAATATTTAACTGCCTTGTGGATATAAAATTTATATTCCATAACATTCCATTAAAAATGTATGATTAAATGGTATTGGTAAATCTAAAAAATTATTCAATTATTACTATAATCCATGTGGAAAGTCTTTGTGTGCACCTATGGTTACATTTCTCTTGGGTAGATTCCTAGGAGCAGAATTGCTAGATTTACATTTAATGATTAAAGACATCACCAAAGTGCTTTCCAACGTGGCTATACCATTTTATATTCCCACCAGCAGTACATGATGGGTCCAGTTTGTCCAAATCCTTACCAACACCCAGTGTTGTCTTTCTGACCATTGCCTGCTAGTGGTGACTCACTGTAGGCTCTAGATAAAAAAAAATGTGACTTACTTAGACTTGTTCTTTTATTTTTTTTTATGTTCCTGAATACCTAGTGCTTTGCTACATGGCAGCATTTCTATGCTTACTGTTTAGCTATATTTGCATAAAGAAGCCAGCTTTATATATGCACATAAACATCATTTAGCATTGACTTTGGCATTTGTTTGTTGGAAAAGGGAAAGTTAAAGAATATGCCTTAGGGAAGAAAAAAGAAACCAGAAAACAAACAAAATCAAGAGGTTAGTGGGAGCAGTGGGAACTTTGGTTCAATATTTGAAGCAGCTCAGATGAAGTTGATGCAACAGAGCAGGTGAGGGTCATGCATGTCTGTGTGTTCCAGGGATAGGAAAAGAGAATGAAAATGGGAGGTGACAGAAATGGTAAGTAGAATATTGTTTGCTTAGGCAAGAAAAAATCTATTTCAATGGTAGTTGATCTTATAAACTAAGTGCTCTAATTAGACTGGGACCAAGAGGAACAAAGACAAAGCCACTGAAAGGATCCTCAGCAGGCAGCTTGTAACGTGGTGCTTCTCATGAGCCATACATGTTGTTCTCAGAATCATCTGGGTTGCTTGTTCAAACACAGATTTCTAGGTTCCTTTCAAGACTTCTTAAGAGCCTCTAGGGATTGAGGCCCTGGAATCTGCACCTTGAACAAGAGTCCCAGGTGATTCTTACCTCAAAAAAAAAAAAAAAAAAATTTGGGAACTTCCATTTCAGAGAATAGATACTTTCCTGCTTAGGATGCCCCATTTTAGGTCCTCCCTTTCGTCCTTCCACAGAGCAACTTTCAAACTAAGCTCCAGGGTTCTGCTGAGCTGCCTGGAAGGACAACATGGAGCCCACCAGAGCCACACACCCCCTTGAACTGATTTATATTTAGGGGCTCTATCAATTGTGGGGGAAAAAGCATTCAGTTCCCAAAAACGTTTGTAAACTAATGTCAGGTAGTGACAAGTTTATTGAAATAGCAAATCAAAAAAACTTTCTCTATTGCTCGTGATAATTTTCTTTCTTTATGCACAGAACCCACTTGTCAGTAGAGTAAACCCCTGGTTCTTTTCTTGTTGCTCTGATGGCAAAGACAGTCAAACTAACTGCATCTCTGCTGTTGCTCCCCAATCCTAGAGGCATCAGCCAGGGGGAAAGTGGGAATAGTAAGAGGAACTGATAACTTCTTAAAAAAAAATCCCTCCAATTTCATTTATTTAACTTTGAAGGAAGCAACAGAATGTGTTCAGGAAACTGA